TTTTTTTTTTTTTTTTTTTTTTTTTTTTCTAGATTATGCTAGTATGCAATATGATAAAATTAAACGATTTCGACAATTAATATGCAATATGATAGTCATTTCGACAATTAAACGATTTAACCAAGATACACGAATTAAATTATTATATTTATAATATTGTAGTTAGTATTTTGAAATTTAAATAAAAATAGATAATTGACAATAATATAAAATTTTGAATCGTAGATTTTAATTTGGATGGTTTCGACCGAAATGTGCAATCTAATAGTCATTTATGTGCAAAATGTATAACAATATTGTGCACTTGCAACACATAAAAATATACAAATAATAATAATAATAATAATAATAATAATAATAATAATAATAATAATAATAATAACAATAATGATAATAATAATATTGAAATAATTTAATATAAACTTCTATTTACTATTTTAATAGTTTTATTCAATATTATTTTTAGTTGAACAAAGATAGTATTGAAATACCAAAGACGATAACGTGCATTCTACTAATCATTAATGTGCACTTAGCCTAACGGTTTTGTGCAATTTATTTTTGTTTATTATATTGAGCGAGTATATTTTATTGTGCATTATCTTTAGTTGAACAAACAAAGTATCGAAATACACCAAAGACGATAATGTGCATTCTAATAGGTTAATGTGCATTTAGCCTTACGTTTTTGTGCAGTTTATTTTTGTTCATTATATTCGGCGAGTATATTTTATTGTGTATTATCAATTTATATATATAATAAAAATATAATTAGCTTTTTATATTTTTTATTTAATACTTTATATTATTATTCGCAAAAACAAATAATAAATAATATATAGTATAAAAATATTTTTATGTAATTCAGTTTATTTTATTATTTCACCTTTCTCTATTTTAATTTATGTTTATGTTTAAAATAAGGTCGAAACCGAATTGAATAATCATAATTTTAAAATTTGTGGAAACAAACACTTTTTATACTAATGTGCAATTCCAAATACATTAATGTGCAATCGGCTTAACATCACCGTGCAATACTATAATCACTAATATTAATTTTGTACATAAGAATAGTTTGGAGTGGTTGGATGCAGTCAAGCCTCCTCTACCTCCGTCTTGTCCATCGCCTTCCTTGACTGGTATCTAAATGATTCTACTCTATCTCATAGCTTTTCAATCTGTTTTTTAATGTTGGCATTATGATAAAAAGTGGAAACTCTTCTTTTGTTTGTTTATTTCATTTTTCTTACTTTGGAACTTACCTGGATTTATGGATGTTTTTCTGGCCAGTCTCAACACAACGAACTTTCATTCCCTGAATTATCAAACAAATATATCCGCCATCTATAAATATTCGATGGGGTTGCTTATTATTAATTGAAATTTCGTTTGGTAAAAAATGAAACTGTAAACCGAACCAGGATTGGTTTCTAACAATTTTTTCTTTGGAGGTTCACAAGGGAAGATTGAACCGATAAGGCTTCATACACAAAGATTTTTTGATCCCGGCAGGCTGGGTAAAGCACTCAGAGTTTTTTGCCATTAATGTAAGGATGACTGTGAGTGAACAATATGGCACAGGATGAGAGACCTCTGGTTTTGGTCGATCGCCTGAAGCTTATCCGTTGTATATTTATTTCCCGAGCTATCGAACAAAAACATTAACACACAGAATAATTTCAAACTGATGGAATGCTGAAGAGAATAATTGAATTAATATTAATACACCATACATAAATTTATGACCCATCAATACTCCACGCCTGGAAACATAGTACCAGCAGAGCCCTCTGAAGCAGACTCATATTTGTTACCATACATTGATTTATACTCCCTCCAAAGCTGGCTCACAGGTTTCCCCAAGAGCTCCACAAAAAACTCATCACTATATCTATACCTCATCTTCTTATTCAAAGCGGCCGTAAACCCTTTCCTCAAACCATCACAATACTCCAAGAACCTCTCGGTCACGCCGTACCCCTCGTCCCACCTGCTCCCTGAACCCGGCTTCGTGTACTTGTCCTTCTCGTAAATATTCGACTTTACCATCACGTAATCCGCCATCCCCTCCGTTAAACCTCCCGGCGCCGTAAAATTACCGTGCCACTGGAAAACGTGGGTCATCTCGTGGTACATTAGGGACGAGAAGAAGAACTTCGATTTGTTGCGGGGGAAGTAGAACTTGTCGAGGGCGGGCCCGCTCACGTTCACGTTGTCCCCGTTTTTGTACGCATATCCTTGGAAGTCGGATATGTAGAGGGTCAGGACCGGCACATTTTTTATTTCGGAGGGTAGTTTTTGTTCGAAGATTTTCCAGATGAAGTAGTTAACGGTTTCCATGGTGAGAAGGGCAAAATCGACCCCTATTTCTTGATCGAAAAGCCTGCCGCCGGGTGTGTTGGGGACGTTGTTTTTGACAACGTATCTAACTGCATGGACGCAGTTGAAAAGGACCGCCGCGAGTAGCAAACATGGGAGGATGGTGTTGAGGTTTTTATCCATGACTAACTAGCTTTTTTTTTTTTAACTGTTTTTGTTGTTATTGTTGACTGTTTTTTGGGATTAATTTGTTGTGAGCCAGTTCTGTAAATATATAAGGATGATTGATTAAGTAGTCAAAAGATTGAGAATAATGTGATTATTCATACGAAATCTTAAGCAAATTAATAGACAGAATTAATTGGAATATAATTCTAAATTGGAATAAGTTCAATTTTACTCGTTCACTTGTCTAAAGTCCATTTTTGGTACAATAACTAACCCCATATCAAAAATAGTAAGTTATGTCGCAATTTGTATCATTTTTGGAACATTATTTATAAAAAAAAATAGTACGTTATGTTGAACTTTGTATGATTTTTAGGACATTAATCCTAAAAAATAGTGAATTATTTTCGGGGTAATGTCCCAACAGTGATACAAATTGCAAAACAATGTACTATTATTATTGATGATGGGAAAGTCAGTGTACCAAAAAAGGACTTTAGCCAAATACGGACCAAAATCGAATTTTTGCCATTCTAAATTTCTAATGTTCTGCATATAATATGATGAATCTCTTACTAATTATTATGGAATCATTGTGGCAAAATTCTCCGATCAAGAAATGGATATGTAGAGAACATGTAAAATTTCAACAATTTTTGATAAATACAATACAGTCAAAATATGCCAATTTTGTAATACATATGCTATTTTGGTTCTTTTTTTTTTCCGAAACGATAGAATATTATTGAATGGGAAAACAAATATTTACAGCTGCCACTAAGGCAGGAGGAGCACTAACAATAGCGACCTAGCCCTAACAAAACAAAGAAAAGGCCATCGTGTTGGCAAGACTAAGCTCGAATTCAACATTAGACCTAAACTTACAACGAGTAGCTAAACTACTAAAAGCAGCAAAAGGAGATAACTGAAACTGGAAAACTCCCTATCAGTTACCCCACTAGCAAAATAACTAACTAAACGACTAAAAAAAAACAACTAGAAAAATGCCAAAAGAAGACCCTAGACGAGCAAGATCAAGGACCAGTGTTTGAGAATTCCTTCCAAGCTGAAGCTGCAGATTGAGCTATATTGTATTCAGAGACCCAAAGGTTTTGGAATACCCAAAGGTTTCGGGTTTTCCAAATCCACCAGAGAAGGTATGTTGTGTATTGGATCCTTTGCGAGGAGAGAGGAGAGGGGTTTATGCAGCAAACTTTCACCCACCAGCTTTTGAAGGAGTATGTTTCCTGTGCCAGGCCTTCCCATGTAACTGTAGCCATCTTCCACACTTTTTCTGATCTGCTACAATGGAACATGAGATGTTCAAGAGATTCAGGAGCTTCACCACAGGATTTGCAAGTTGGATCAATGGTTGATTTCCTTTTCAGGAGGTTGAGGGTGATTGGTAGAATATTTGAGAAGCATTTCCAAAGGAAATGCCTTACCTTGCCTGCAATGTTGAGCTTCCAGGTTAGTCTTCTGGTTTTCAAGATGGCTACTTGCTGATGGCTACATTCTGGGATGTCCAACTTAGACCATTTTTCTTGAACTAACATGTCATAAACAGCCGCAACTGAGACCATTCTTGCTTGGATCCCAAACAATGGTGTCAGTGCTGTTTGGGTTAAGGTCTTTGATTTTGAGAATAGCCATGCTTTCCTCTGGTGGGAAGCATCTCTGGATGATCTCCTTATTCCAATTCCAACCAGTTTCATCAACTAGCTCAGCCACCCAAGTTAGCTCCTGCCTGCATGGATTTTCAGGGTGGGGTTTAAACCCCTTCAGCATTGGTATCCAAGGATGGTTCCAAATATGAGTGTCAGTTCCTGATTTGATTTGGTATCTAATACCACTTAGTAGGTCTTTCTGGGCATTCATCTAGCTTGTCCAAAGCCAAGATCCACTGGTTTTCTTTTTTGCTGTGAGGATGGAACCTTCAGGGAAATATTTGGCTTTGAGAATTTTGCTTACCAAGAGGTTGGGATTGTTGTGTATCCTCCATAGTTGTTTGGTGATCAAGGCTCTATTCATTAGGTGGATATCATGAAATCCCAGTCCCCCTTTTTCTTTTGGAAGAGCCATTAAGTTCCAAGATTTTCAGTGGATAGCTTTTGTGTGCTCATGCTTATTTCCCCACCAGAATGATGAGAAGAGTCTGGCCAGATTGAAGCTGAACTTTTTAGGGAGTAAGAAACAAGACATGGCATAAAGAGGTAGGGCCTCCAGGACTGCTTTCAGCAAGATTTCCTTACCTGCATTAGAGAGAAATTTGTTTTGCCAAGATAAAATCTTGGTTTTAACCACTTCATCAATATAGGCAAAAGTTTGAAGTTTAGAGTGGCCTATTCCAAGGGGTAGTCCAAGATATTTGGAAGAAGTTTTTTTTTTTTGATACCCAAGAAGATACTGCAGATTTGATCTTGAAGACAATGGGGGGTATTCTTGCTGAAAAAGATGGATGATTTTTGCAGGTTGACTGTTTGACCAGATATTTCCTGGTAGAGCTGAAGGATTCTGAGTATAGTGTGGGCTTGAGAAGTTTTTGGTTCGAATTGCCATATTTTCTGAGGGAATCGATGGTTGCTTTTGTTCGCGTGTGATATATACAACAATAGAAAATTATCTATTTTTTTCCTCTCCAAAAAAAAATAATACACGAGAAACCTTTATAAATAATATGAATGACGTTTTATCTTACATTATTCAAAGTTACAATAAAATATTATTTTGTTCACATAAATATAATAAAATAATATATAAATATATATTATTGAACATTTACTTATAAAATTCATTAGTGCAGCACCCAACGCACGAACTAGTGATATTAAGGGAAACATTTTGACTTGGATGATGAGATCATTGTTCAAAACATAAAACACATTTATGAAATCAAAAAAAAAAAAAAAATATGTATTTATATATTATTAAATATCTCATTATACACAACATTATTTGTTTGAGTTTTGGTACATCGTCATGTCCACAAATTAAAATCTTCAAACCCTTACGATGCGTAACGCGTGAAACAACTACAGACAGCTGACCGTGACTGAACCCTGATTTTTTCAAGAACATGCCAACATGTGAC